AACCACGTGAGTTATAGATGCTACATACGTATTATGTGGCGCACAAACCAGCGATCATGATACGCGTCCCTGACGTACCACGGATGTACGACATGGGTTAATATTAGAAGTACCAGTTACAATTTTGTCATAAATTACGCTTAACAAGCTAAAATTATATCAGATTACAACCCTGATTAAAAATAACAATAAAAATGCATCTCCTCAATTAATTAAAGTCTTAAAAATACAATAATAGTGTATATTACAAACTATCAAAGTACATATTGGTGTTATAATTGCGCAGAAAACTCCATTAAACATTCACGCAATATATTTTTGTTGTTAATTATGTATGTCGGTTATAAATTAGCACTTGGAATAACTCGCATCAGTATTTAAATCTTATTGTAGTGTTTTCGGAAGAATATTAAACAGCTCTTGAGGAACATATTTCGTAATCTCTCAACCATGGGAAAAAGAAACTTATCAATAAGAACAGTACAAATCTCTCGGCAATCTTCGGATTTCCGTTTTTTCATTTTTAATTTAATTTTTCAATTTTCATTTTTATTTCCATGTGAAGAACTGTAAAACTACAGCTTTTTATAATATTATTTACTCCTTAACAATATATCAAGTTCGCAAAAATATAACCAAAATACGGAGTAATAGCTACTAGGTATACTTCCAAGTCATTCATAGTTTAAAATCATGATAGTGTGAGTTTTGGCGACAGCGGTTCTGATAGTAATTGATACTTAGTGCATTTGTGCACTACATCAGGTTCGTATTCCTTCCGAATCCGAGACTATACAAATCTAGAAAACTCGGACCCTCTTCGGATTTCGCTTGTGCATTAAGTCAAATACAAATATCGCTCGTACACCTAGAGATAAAATAACCCCTGTGCCATTTCGGACCGTTATTTCTCGGATTCGGAACCGATACCATGAAGTGGACCATTATTTTGTCTACAATCTTCGATATTCCGAATGCACCCGAATACGAATGTCCATGTCTAGTAATTATTAGATTGATCATCAATAATAATTTAAACTCAGAATCAATTACTTTATTATTGTTTCGTTTTAGTTTCCATGTGACCTATATCTATCAACTATTCGCTTTTTTTAATAACATTTTCTCCTTAAGAATATACCAAGCAAGTTAACCAAAATATAAACTAAACAAAGAGTAGTAATGTATTACATCCAATGCAAACAGCGTCCGATAAAAATCCGACGACAGCCGAAATGTACTGTAAAAAGCGAGTTGTGTAGCTTTATTAGTTTCCTTTTCCAGTTCTCGGGTTATTCGTAAAATTACTACACTTACCATAATTAAATAAATTTAATTTAGGTATATTCTATTACAAGTAGATTGTCTGTTATAACATGCAATGGTCGAAAAAAATTGTTTCACATATACAAATGCATGTATTACAACTACAAAGAGCGACATAAGGATTGTTAAAACTACTAAATATTAATTAACTACTGTTTCGAATTCCGGATATCCGGAAATGGTTTTACAGCATCTTAGGACAAAACTACTGACCTAGGGAGTCGAAATTGGATTTTAAAGTAATTCTAATGGCGCCATGTAAAAAATGCTGTAGGTAACCGACCTTTTACCAAAACAGAACAGAGAATAAAAATGTAACAAGAATGGTCAGTCTCCGCCTCTCCCTAGCTTTAGATACCGCATATTGACGGTCACATTGACGAAACGGCGACATTTGCTACTAGAACTTAAGAAAAATAAATAATTTAAAATTTCATTTACGAGGGACATTTCAGGACATTTTAGGACATGAAAATCGTTGTGATCGCGCTCTAAAAAGATTTTATTTAAATTCAAAAACACACATAACAGGTGTTCATAAATTGGAGCAGAAATAACGTATTTTAGAAGGAAAATGTTCACACTAGATTATTTTAATACTTTTTATAAAAAAACTTCATAAATAAAATAAAGACAGGAGTTTCTTTCATTAGGAAATTCGAAAAAAGTTATTAATTAATATCTACACATGTATCCTATATATGTGGAATACCTTTTTCCGACCATTGGCTATAAAAAAGTACACACATCATAGTAACCTAGGCCCGTATTAATTAATAGTTCTCAATATTAAGTGCAATTCACCTTGTTGACAGGCTATAATCTTGAACGATACCATCTCCAGTGGCATTAGCATTAGAGCTCCTTGTTCTCCCGGAGTTCATCTTGAGACTACTACCCTATAATGTAAGCATTACTGCGTTCCGGTTAGGTTTAAGAGTGCCGGTGAAATTGCAGGCACATTATAATCTCAACTAATCGTCTCAGGGGGACAGTGTCCCCCATATTATTAACCTTAGAGTTAAGTCCAAATTCAAGGTACCATAATTTCGTTTAACTAAGGAAAACGACTCTTTTATGGGGAACTGTATACGTTTTTACAATAAGATTCCGGAGTATATTAAGATTGTCATTTCCACATTAAAAATATTTTGATTGAAAAGTCATATTACGTGTTAGATAAAGATGTATGGAAAGACAACATGGCTTCAGAATCCACACAAATTTGATTCAAAGTGCTTTCTTTAAAATTCCATAGCATTTAAGTTTATTTGAAAAAAGCAACCCCTAGAGTTTCTTGCTCGTTCTTCTCTGGGAAGTTAGCGTAGTGAACGAGTGTAAATTTATTTTACCTATGGAACAAATGATTCTTTGATTTTAATAAATGCGATTTAAAACTGAGTGGTACTGCAACTGTTATGGACAGGCGTGTCGCTTAATACCAGGCGCACGACTTGTTCATCTTGTCTAGTATCATAAAAATAAGTTATCCTGCAATGTGGATTTAATAACAATCTTGAATTACAGCTCAAGTGTTAAAGAATTTTTATTAGAAATTCTCAAATGTTGAGTGATCATAGATGTGTACTCGAGAGGTATTTATCAACAAAGGGTTGACTTAAGTATCGATTATATTATATAAATATAAATTCTACACTTTGAGACAGATTTATTAATACGGGTCTTCACATGGCGGAATAGACCGATCGCCACCCTGATAGCTGGGTACACGTGTGGAGAAAACTGTGCGATTAAAAAAAAAATAATAATAACGGGTTCTTAAGTTTTCGCGATCGTTACACATAGGAAACGAAACTATTTTTTAGTAATAAAATTTAGCCTGACACGGTTTGCTGGGAGAAGTTGGTTCGAATCCAATCGAATCGAAGAAAATATTCTTTTTATAAGTGTTCGGTCTTTGTTTAATAATTATAGCTAACTATTGGAGTAATTTCACAAAAAATAATTGAATATCATGGTGGTTCAACATTCTGATATTCAATAAAATCTTAATAACAATAAAATTAATTTAAAAAAAAATGTTAAAATAAAATAATTTTCTGAAATGTGTAGCGTAAATTGGAATGTTTCTTTGGAAAATTTAAAAACAAGGTGTTTAATACTTTTTGTAACAATAGTAAAAAAAGTTTGCATTAATATTAGACGTAACTGGTTGATGACTGTACCACCTCAGTCAACCGTGACCATGGGACCTGTAAAGGGCCCGAAACGTGAGTTTGTTTGAAAAAAAAAACAAATAGACGATTTAGATCTGACAAAATAGTTTCATTTCCTATATAAAAAACAACTTATTCAGCAAGACAGATAAATCCATATAAAGTAGCCTCAATTTTTTTTGATAAGTGTACCTTTGAAAATATAATTTCAAAAAATTTACACCATATTATCATAAAAAGCACCGAATATGCAACAACAGCTGAGTTAATAAAACCATTTTAACGCTCATGTACTTCGAAAAGGCATAACACTTTCCATTTAAAAAATCCATGACACACACGTAACATTACATCTAAAAAATAACTTTTATCACAAAATAAATCATTTAATAACTTTATAAAAAAATTTAATTACCCCTAAATGCTACGAAAACAGGAAGACCTGGCAAACAATAGTGACCACTAAGCTACAACAATGCTTTAAAAACATGCGGGATTTCGTGAGTTTAAAAAAAAGTAAAATGGCGTTTCGAAGCTAAGTGTTGCTACAAAAAAAAATGTATAAGCGAAACTTTGTAATTAAAATTCTTAAAACAATAAATTCATAGCCTTTAATACAAACTAGCGTCGCGTACAGTTCAAACGAAAATCAGTTATTTACATCAGTAAAATGTAATTTTTTTTCCGTAACAATTAATATTTTACGATTTTTTATTTCATTCAATGTGTTAAAAAAAAGAGTGATTCAAAAGCGCAAACATCACGAGTGGCTGAATACAAATGCAACTACACTAAGTGCTCGGAAAGGGCGGGGAAACTAAACGCTCACCAAAACAAGCGAACTAACACAACAAACCAAACGCAACAGTGCATCACGTCAAATAGAAAAAAAAACATACCTACGATTTTTTCGTTTTTAATTTTTTTTTAATGTAATTTCTAAAAAATGCACTATTTTACAGATTCCGCTCGAGTGCTGGAACGCTCCCACGCCCGTCGAGGAGCCTGCGACCGTTTGAGTATTCCAGGACTCAACGTCACGAGTCTAAACTATTTAAACAACGAATATCAGCTGCCATGAATTACGCACTTTCAGCAAAGAAAAACATGTCAAAACACTACAAACATTTTCGACTTGCGACTAGTTAAATCAACTCTACTTGACCATTTATCGATACAGTTGTTTTAAGTTTCGTTTAACTCGATTAGTTCGTCGACGAGTGCACTTTGTTTTAGTATTATACCCCTATCTATTCAGCCCTTGATGTTTCCGGTACACGCTTGATTATTCGTACCGCGTTCGCCCCACGACGTTTAATCTCACTTATTAGACCCAAATATTCCATTTCGCCCCATTTTTGATTCCTTTTTTTTTTTGTATATGCAAATCCTTTTGAAGTTTTTTTTTAACTTCACTTGAAGAAATTATATGGGACGAAAAAGTAGGGCGAACGAGGTATAAATCCAATTGCCTTCGCGTGGTCATATAACCTGTATACGGCCAGGAAAGCGCCTATCGTTGTATGTAACATTTTCGTTCCCTGTAGCGTAACACGTTGTAATCCTACAAAATTTTATTATCTTAAGTTTAGCCAATTCTATAAATTAAATTTATTAATTTCGAGTGTTATATTCGATGACAGAAGTTTGAATTGTGCTAATGTTACAACAATGTAAAATGGGTTTTTGTGGAGACGCGATACCCAATAACCTGTAACGACTACGTCATCGGCGTCAAAGCACGTTACATCTAATTTGCATAAAGAATGGAGTACTAAATTTAAAGTAACCAATCACATGGCTCTATTATCACGTGACATGCAGCAAGAAATTCAAACTGACGAATCTTGTAACTTAGATATCACGTGATGTGAAAATTGTGTACCGCATTCTTAACGCGAATGAACAGCATATTCCAGGTCTGCTTAACATGTTCAAACGCTTGTACATTTGGCCAGTCGTAGTTATAAGGGTAGACGCGTCTATTGGCGACGGTGTGTGGCTGTCAGTCGGTAATGGTGCCTAGAGTTGACATACTGCTATCTGTCATCGCGTGGTCTGGGGCTACTCCTCCGCGCCAGCGTCCTCACTGATCGTTTCGCCCGCTCTCTCTTGGGAAATGTTTTGACCTGAAAACCAACAGCATACACATTTATACCGATCCATAGACGTGCCCTGGGGTGCCTTTCCTTTCTTTGTTTCGAGATGAAAGCAGAGAATAAAAAAGTAACGAGCCTCTCCCGAGGCTTAAATACCACACCTCGCTGGGCATATTGTTCCTACATTGATGGAACGGCAACAAGGCTCTCAACGAGTTATTCGTTAAGAACGTCGCCGATATTTAAACAGTTTAAATGTTTAGATAATAAATATAGAAATGAAACTATTTTTCCGGATTTAAATCGCGTATAGGTATTTGTTTCTTCCAACAAAACCGGTTTCTTTAAAAAAACAAATGTACGCGATTTAAATCCGGAAATATAGTTTAATTTCCTGTATGTAACAATCGCCAAAAACCTAAGAACTCGATACTGAGAATAAATAATACAAGTAAGAAAGTGACTGGTTACACTATCACTTCACGCACACATTTGCGCGTGTGCAGACAGCACCTTGTTATACGTATTCGTAGTAGGCTCATAACTTTCTACCGTTGTATGAAGTGTCCGGTATGACGAAAGCGTCCATGACATTGAAAAACCAAAAATGAAATTGTTGTGTACATTGACTTACAACTATATGGACGTCGGGTCCGCGCTAAAAAGTGTCCGAACTTATAGGGCGTTAAAATCGTATACAGAGCGTCATTCACGCTCTAGTCTTCGTTTGTGCGACTGACAGCGAAGCAAGCAAAATTAGACAGTACTGCGATGACATTACAATTTAAATTCAACGTTTTAGCTTTTTCATGTTCCTTTACATGTCACTACGTTTAAATAGGTTGACTTGGGACATTTTTTTCGTAGTTTGTGGATTAGACCCGTCGTCCATTTATTTGTAAGTCAATGGTTATGATGTAATATTTTTGAAATTTGAATCATTTTGTGCTGTAGCATCTATAAATGTCTTTGTTCTATACAAAACTTACAAAGCAGCAGAATTTCCCCTCAATTCGAGAGAGGGGATCCCCATAGCAAAAGTACTTTTTGGTTTTGTATACTAAATTTGCACTTAACATAGTTTCAGATAAGTAGATGGTCCAATACCTTCTACAAGGTACACTGCTCAAAGACTTACCCTTTTTCGCTGATGAAAGTATGCACTTCTTGCAGCTTATGAAGAAAAAGGAGACACGTTAGAGTTGGGCGTAGAAGGCATCAGGTCCATCGTCTTGCACACCCATCCCGCGATGTCCACCTTCTCCGCGTCCGCCTTGCGGATCCACTCGTGGTTCTGCGCACACAGACACCAGTATCTCTAATCTCAAGAACAAACGTCAGCACCAGAATCATCAGCACCAGACAATCTGTCTCATATAAATTAGATCCAGAAAATATGTTTCAGGCAGTCTGCACATGGTAATGTGACCCAGACCGTCTGCGCCAGACAATCAAATCCAAACAATCTGAATATCAGATAATCTGATCCAGAAAATATGTTTCAGGCAGTCTGCACATGATAATCTGACCCCGAAATCTGCACCACACAATCCGATCCCAACAATCTGTTCCAGGCAATATGTTTCAGACAGTCTGCACCTGACAATCCGACAAAACAAACTGTATACCAGACAATGTGATCCGGGCAATATGTTTCAGGCAGCCTTCACCTGACAATATTATACGTTCCAGCCATTTCAGGGGCCTACTCCCGTTTTCCATCCGACTTCCGTATGAAGCAACTATTGTGAAATACGTAATACTCAACCAAATCAAAAAACGCATGATACGAATGAAGCTTCATATTTAGTGACGAAAGAGACTCAGTCTTTTAAGGCGTTTTATAACGACTCGACTCCATTTTACAGGACGCGACTCTAAAATTAAGACTGGGAGTTCGAGTTTTACTAAAAGACTCAAAAGACTTAAACGACTCGAGTTGTTTGCAAAAGGACTTAAACCTATTTTATGTCTTATTAAACCCGAAGTTTATAAATAAAAATGACGTAAGTAGTATGTAGTAAATAATCACGTTTATTTACTTATAATAAAAATCGTAAAATAAATACCTTATGAGTAGAAATGCAATCACGCCATACGGCTCATGACTCGCGACTCCTAAGGCTATGAGGCACCAGTCGTTCTAGTCCTATAAGTCTTTTAAGCTTCATAAGGTTAAAAGACTTCGACTTGAATTAGTCTTCAGTTTTAGACTTATGACTCAAGACTTGAGGGTTAAAAAACTAGACTAGTCGTGAGGCGTTAAAAATTAGTAGAGGTTTTTTAAAAGTATTACTTATTTGACAGTAATTGTTTCTGCATCCCTGCATCAGACAATCTGATCCAGACCGTCTGCACCAGACAATGTGCGTACACTATTTGTGTACCAGTCAACAAAACGATCTGAGCGATGATCAAGCTAACATGCAATGTCATTCTTAATGCCTTTTTTAATCTCGTACACCCAAAGTCGTTTCATGGGTTCAGAAATACTATCCAGCTATAGGGCGGACCACACTGTTATGTCTTTAGAATTTAAAAGCTACGTTAATGACGTAAGGCAAAATGTTAAACAAAGAACGGCGTACCATCAAGGTTTTCAGGTCCGCGCGCTCGTCGGGGTTCTTCTTGAGGCAGCGGTCGACGAAGTCCTTGAAGGCGTCGGAGAAGATGCCGGCCGGCAGTTTGGGTGGCGGCTCGTTCACGATGTAGTCCAGCAGCTCGAAGATGGCCATCGGCCGGGGCGAGTTCGGTGCCTGGTGGAGATGGCGATTAGGTGACTCGTTTTAAACAGTATAAGTTGACAAATCCCATGTAGCTCTAATTCCACCAGCACCATTACCCATCAAAACCGGAACACAGTAATGCTCACATTAGCATGGCAAAAATAGGTAAGATGGCAGTACTTCCCTGGACGAGCTCTTTCACTACGAGCTCTACTGATAATTATATGGTAGCATGTTCAACTTTACATTCGCAATGTGCTTTTATTAATTTTATTTTTACCTGACCCGGAGAATGGTCTTCGTTTTGTCCACCAAAGATAGCCGCTAGCGTTTTAGCGTCTGGTGGCGGGATGGGGTACATGCCGATGGCCATCTCCACCAGCGAAAGACCGAGAGACCAGATATCCGATTGCACAGAATAGTGAGTGCCTTGCAGACGCTCAGGCTGTAAAAATTCAATTTAACCCATAAATCTCATAGGCAAAAATGTGCATTTCAATACCACACGGTATATTATAGCATTAGCAGAAAACAATAGTCTATTAGGCGTGACCTGCCACATCACACCACTCGACCACCACTACCAGTCACTGGAGGAGAAGCGGGATAAACTGTTTTGCTACATCAAATGGATTGTTAGGTATTTAATATTAAATATAAAGAATGTGCTAATTTGTTACACGACAGGATGTACTTCACCGGATCATACAAAATTCTGAAAACAGGCTAAAATAAAAATCTGAAACGAGTTATTTAAGAATAAAATGTGTAACTTTGCACATCATGTTTATATGGAGACATTTCTGTTTAAGTACTACAGAGAAACTGCAAAATTTTTGGTTTTTGAACTGAAGCTCTGTAGTTATTAAAATGCCCGCCACCCCGTCAGTCGCCATCGGCTGCTTGTCAACGTCGGATCTGTGTCAAATATTCAAAATGGCGCTTTAGCCCTTTCTACAAGACGTTACGTTTGTTTAATCCCTGTCTTATTTTATTATGCTATTACTTAATTTAACTCCACTACTTTAATTCGATCACATTCAACATTTGTTGTGCTGGTAGATTTCTGTTGTGATCATTCGATCACAACAGAAAGCTACCAGCAAGATGGCAGAAGTGTGTTTATAGCATGGGTGCATTTTTTCTATGTTTGGATTCAAATCTCTTTTACATAAAGGCAATTTGCTTTCAAAGAAAAAAAAAAGACATTTACATGTGTACAACAAAGTGCCATCTTGCACCCCTAACGCAAAAAAAGTATATTATTCCACTTGGCCAATCGACTTGAAATTGGGTATACTATGTAAATCCGATGACGCTACAATCATATGCGAAAAAGTAGTGTAAGACAATTATGTACTTTAAAAAAATAATTATGTAATTTAGTATAACAATTTTCATGTAAGGGCGCGTTCCCATTACGTCGTGACGACAGATAGTCGTGCAGTTTAAAGTGTCAATGCTTGTATATTTAAATGAAGTTGTTCACATATTAACACGATTAACTGTCGTTCACGACTTTTTTGACGTTACGACGACAGACTGTCGTGCCAATGAGAAAAAGTAGAACGACTATCGTCAGACGATAAATAAAATGTCACGATAAAAACGTCGTGCAAACGACAAGCCAGGTGCCGGGAACCAATAATTTTTCGTCACGATCTAGTGGTACAGCTACACACGACAGTCGTTCAACGATAAAATAAACATCCATGACACAGTCACGACAGATAGTCGTGTTATGGGAACAGGCTAGACGCGACAGTCGTCCAACGATAAATAAAACGTTACGACGTAATTGGAACGCACCCTTACATGAAAATTATTATACTAAATTCATTGACTTACAAATAAATGGACGACGGGTCTAATACAAAAATCACGAAAAAAATGTCCCAAGTCAACCTATTCGAAATTTAAATTGTAATGTCATCGCAGTAGTGATAGTGACGGAGTGAAGATATTTGTGTTTTCCATCCGTTACTCTCATCTCTGGACTGTATTCGCACTTTCCATCAGGCGCGGTGCAGTCATTTTGCTGAGTCACAATAAAAAAATAAAAAAAAAGTATCGCGCTGTCAGTCGAACAAATGAAGACTAAAGCGGAGTGTCGCGCTCTGTATACGACTTTAGCGCCTTACAAGTGCGGACACTTTTTAGCGCGGACCCGACGTCCATATAATTGTAAGTCAATGACTAAATTACATAATTATTCTTGTAAAGTACATAGTAAGTATAAAAAAAACCTAATTAAATATATTTTATTCATGAAAATAGCATCCAAATGTAAAATAATAACGTAACGTTAGTAATCATTCCAAGTAATATTGTAGAAAAAAATTAACCTTACACCACTTTTGAGCCCAAATTGCTATTGTAATGACGTCACTCACCGACATATAACTCCTGGTGCCAACAAAGGAGTTGGCCATGGAGTCGATGAGCTGGCCGGAGACGCCAAAGTCGCAGATCTTGATCTCCCCATTGCTGTTGACAAGGATGTTGGACGGCTTCACGTCACGGTGCATGATCGCGTGCTTGTCACGAAGGTAGCTCAAGCCTTTTAGCACTGCCGATGTTATAGTTCCTGCAAACAAAATATACAGAGGATAATAACTACTTTGGACTTAAATTTAAACAATCTTCATTTCATAGGTAAGCAAATTACACCGTCATACTGGTTGAAGTCTGTATATTTATTTATTGAAAATACTTGAAAGCTATTTACACTACCAAAGCGCTTACTTTAATTTTAAAAAATAAAAGCAAAAGTATAATTAAGAAAAAGTGAGATTACAATATTAAATTGAAAAACACTGCGCACATTATGCTACCCACTCGACAGGACATCAGTGCTCGAAAGGTAGTTCACGAACGGAAGTACTTATCCCGCGACGGATAACGTTGGTCAAAGAATATATCTAAATTCTGATACTAGGCTATTAACTGGATGCTCATTCCGAAGGCAGAATCCATCTATCTCCATGTAAATAAACATATGTATAATTTTATCATTTACAATAATTTTATTTCAAATATCATATACCAAGGATTATTGTCATCGAAGTACGCAGAAGCTGCATAATAATCTTTAGTATAAAGTTTTTGTTTCATTATTGTTTTAAACCTATGAATTAGAGGCAATATGGTTCGGAACGAAGTAGAAAATTGAATCAAATATTACGTCCTTAAAACATAGATGGCGGCAGTGCATTCCATTTCTTTTCCATATGCACAAGGAAGGCAGAAATGATTCGTACGAATGGATGATGAATTAACCGTATAACAAAAATGTTGGAAAAAACCATTTCGTGGAAAACTTAACAATAGCCTATAATCCGATGAGTCAACTAACAAGAAAGTAAGCATGACTCACAAAATGACTAATACATACCTAGAATAGATTCAGGAATTCGGCCAGCCTTCTTCAATATCAGATCAAGGGAACCACCATCCATGTACTCCATGCAGATAGATATTTCACCATCACTGTAGAAAGCTCCATAGAAACCGACTATGTGCGCAAAGTTGCATTCGTGAAGGACTTTGAGCTCCCTGATGATTTGCTTCTTGATGGCAGGCTTGACTTCTAGGTGGATAAGCTTGCGAGCCATGATTAGACCAGTTGACTTGTGGCGAACTTTCATGACTACACCACCATTACCTTGGCCTGGAATAAATAGAATAGAATACAATAGAATAGAATCGTTTATTTCATGTTATCAATGTCACAATATTGCAATTGGAAACACAATGTCAAGGGATAACTATGATCGTCAGTAATAAAATTATAATAATAATAATGAATATAAAATAAAGTAGTATAACTACTGCTTGTCGAATAAAATAAAATTAAAATTGTTTCAAAAGTAACTCATCGACACTGTACAATTCAATATCCAATAAAAGGATTTTTAGTCGGGTACAAAACATTTTATCGTTTGTAACACTTAATAAAAATAAATATGCATTTGACCTCCTTCTCATTAGACGGAAAGTGACGATGAGGTCGACGATGTAGCGTGCAAACCTAAATAATGCCTCTCGCCTTGATAAGGTCCAAGAATTCAGGGAATACGTCTGAAGATAGGGAATTCCACACCATGGCTGTTCGCCATATAAATGTAGAAGCGAAAAGCTTCGTGCAAATCCTTGGAATAACCGCAACATGGGGTAGGAACCCCATCTAGTCCGCCGATGGAGGAAAGGGGAAGGTGGAATTAAATCAACCAGACCTTACCTCATGTTAATACTGTTCAGTACCTGGACAGTAGACTAACATGGAAACATCACATCAAAGCAAAACAGGATATATTGATCAACAAATTTAGATCTATGCTGAGGATAATGGGTAGAAAGTCAAGGTCATCAGTTGAGACATAAGCTATTGTTGTATAAGTCGGTATTAAAACCGATATGGACATATGCATTGGAGATGAGGGGATCTGCCAGCACCTCTAATGTGGAAATTCTTCAGCGCTTCCAAAATGGTGTACTAAAGACTACATGTAGTCCAATCACCTTGGTTTGTAAGAGCCCAGGAAATACATGACTATCTTGAAATGCCAACTGTGAAACAGGAGGTACTGACACGTAAAAAAAGCATAAGTCTCGATTACTGCCGTCCGCAAACCAATATGCGGCTAAGGGATAAAACAATTTTTTGACATATCATTATAACCCAGCTTTAGAATATTGAAATAGTTGATAATATTTCAGCTGTGCATCGTTAGGGTCGGTTCCGATAATTCGAACACGTTAACTAATTTCAACGATGTGAGTCGTTTGTAAAAGTCAAGAATACTGGAAAGTTGAATCAGTAGAACACAATCTGCCATTTAATTAATAAGGAAGAAAAGAGTCACAGGACTCTTTATTACAAACGACATAAAACTATAGCACAGATCTGTTTATAGTTCAAGGTCTGATCGCAGTTGGACACAAAACAAAAAAAAACACGCAATTTCATGTCGTCCATTTCCAGTTTTATTTTAAGTTGCAATTGTGACTAAAGCTAATAACGATTATCTTCATTCCTTCCAAGTGTAAACAACCAGTCGCAAACAATGTCGAAATGTATAACTAGAACAAATAGTGATTCAATGGAAATGAAACTGCGTTTTGGACATCTAAATAGCTTAGGTACATTTGTTTTTTAAACAATCCAACATTTCAACGTCAGCAAAAGGTATTGTTTGGAAAAACATAGGTACGGCGCTTTAGATCCGGAAAAAGTAGTTTCATTTAGAATAAAATACGCCATTATTGCAACACTACAACACAAAAATAGAACTGAAGAAAGAAAATTTAAAAACAAAATTAATGCAATAAATAATAAGGGAAACATGTGAAATTAAAATAATCAACACAATTTGACATAGGTTTCATGTGTGAGACTGTGGCGTACACAGAAGGATCTACTCAGCGAATGCCACAGCCGAGATTAGTCTGTGAGCCTGGTTTCAATGGACCTCAATTTCTATTTAATACGTGTAGCGAATGTGAAAACCTAAGAAGTAGATAAATAGTACACTTTACTTTGTATGCTTTCATCAGAAGATACGCAATCGCCAGATAAACTAAGTCACAACACAATTGTAAGTATGTGAGTAACCACTTCATTGTTTACAAAAAAAAATAATTTTAATGCAATCACAAATACACTATTATGCAGGATGTGCCAATTGTACAATACATATTATGTTCATAGTATGTACCATATCCTTCAAAACCACAATGTACTCTAGTTTCAGCACGTTAATATATATAATTTTCCTTTTACTGAAATTTACAATTATAATTGCATGAAAAATTTATGTTATTAATAGGGTGGCTTCATTCAGGGCCTATGCATCCCCTCATCACTGCGACCATTGACTGATCTATTGTGATATCCACTAATTACAGTGCAGAGCCAAGGCTGCCAGTATTGAAGAATTGAAGGACTTTCCTGGCTCTAACAGATTTAATGTCCTCTGGTTGTGGCATGCGCCTTCCCAGTATGGAACTTTGTATGCCCATCAGGAGGTAGCATTGGGTGAGTAGAAGAACAGGAGTTTCATCTGCCTTGTGGCAGAATCTACATTCCTGTTTTCGCTCGCTGCCCAATATTTGACATTTATGTTACATATGTAACAATTCTAAGTTTTATTTGTAGTTTATTATCTGTAGTTGTGCCATAATAAATAAAAATAACTTAAAACAACTAGTGTATTCCATAGAGGGATTTCTTCTCACTAAACTATGATGAAGTGAGATTAATATAACATCTTTAAAACAAAGTTAGCATTAAAGGGATTATACCAAATTTTTTTAGCCACCAACCTGGGTGTTGTTTTGCTTTATCTATTTTAATTATTCTCTATGCCTTAGTTGCCAACTCCATTGGCAATACTTTTTTAAAATTATGGTGTATCAGTGCATCAATTGCTTGATTTTTAAGTAGGAAGTTCCCTGTATGATGAATACCAGAGGACCAACAGAATTCACGCGACCCAGAACACCAGGACCAGAACCAATTTAGAAAGTTAATTTCCCAAATTGGTCCTACTGGAGTATTCCAATTTAAAACCTTTCGTATCTTGGCTTGCTTGATTATAAGTATTTTACAAAATATAATTAGATACATTTTGTATGTTTGAGTCTAAAATGTAAGTTATAACAATGAGTAATTAATTATATACTATTTTAAATAATATTAAGTGATGGGACGAACAAGTCGTGCGCCTGATGGTAAGCTACACGCCTGTCCATAACAGTTGCAGTGCACTCAGCTCTTTAAATCGCAAAGTGTGGTGCACTGCCACTGCAGCCGTCACCCTGAGACATAAGTTAACAAGTCCCATTTGCGTGTAATTTCACCATTTCTATACATGAACATTGTCATACACTATTGTCTGTTGATGACACACATCTATCATTTTCCCCAGGCTTGAGAGGGATCACCCTAAATAATCAGACAATAATACAAACCCAATTCCCCAAGCTTCTCAAAGTCATCATCGCTCAGCTCTCCAATCTTTTCTTTCTGGCAGAGAAAGACCTCGATGCGGCGTCGTTGCGTGTCGTCCATCTCGATCTGTTCCAGCCGCTCTGTCAAAGCTTCAATGCTGGTCTTTGACTTCCCTGCAAGGCCCTGTCGCCTGGAGAAAGCATAGCTCGGCATTACAATCCATTTACATAACAAATGCTTGGTCAGTTAATTGATCACTAAGAGCTTGCTACCGAATTTGTAATAACGTAAAAAACTGGATTTTCAAGCGAATACGACCCTAGTATATTAAAGACGCTACTGAATAGGCATCATCTGCCTATTTTGATCCAGGCCTAATGGTCAAGAGCAAGTACAATTACTTTGAAAATAATATTTATCTTAACTAATAACTAATTACAATATTGAGGTAAATAAGTTATTTAGAGAGTTTCATTCAAAACCTCAAATCGTTGTGATTTAAAGCTCCGAGTAGCACTACAAATACTATGGTCAGGCATGTTGCTTACGACCAGATACACAACTTGTTTGTCCCACCACTGGGTATTATAAAAAACAATCATAGGCTGGCCAACTTTCTTAGCACACTGTCTTGAGTCACCATTATAGAGGTAATTTTTTTGTTAATTAATTAATAAATTAAAGGACATAGATGTAATAAATATAATAAATTGAATAATATCCCATTTTTTAATTGGTAGACCTTGTACACATAGTGTTTAGCATAAAATTAAACAATGTTGTAATAATGCAAGCAATGACTGGAAAAAATAAGTCAGTCAGTCAGTCAACCGTGACCACGGGACCTGTAAAGGGCCCGAAACGTCGGTTTGTTTGAAAAAAGAAATATACGCGATTTAAATCCGGAAAAATAGTTTCATTCCTATGGAAAAAATAAATTAAAATATATATGTAACTTATTTTTTCTCATTTTTTCACTTATTGACACACATGGTATTGATCATTAGCAAATTTTTACACCATAGAACACAATAGAATATTTTAAAATTCATTCAATTGACATAATATACTCATTTGATAGGTGCAATGTGGTTTCTGAGCGATTTTATTAAATGATGACGTATTTATTTACTATCAGAGACAGCCGGTTCAAGAATTTTACTATAACCAAGGTTTATTTTTGCGTCCAAACATAATAAATGAATCTAAACGTAATGAACTGCTGACACTTGTGCAAAAGAACTTTAGTATATATTTAGGAACAACAGGTAGTACGTACTCGTTGGCAGTGGCAGACTTCAGCTGGGGTGTCATATTAGACGGTGTTACAGCCGGAGCCATGTCTATCGACCCTGGTGGGAGGGTAAGATTTAATTTATTTTTCGACATCTTATTCATCTTCAACACAGTTTCGTCACGGCATTGAGAATGATAGCGCTTGCCCCCTCATCAACAAAACACAAAATCCCTACAATTAACACCCAATCACAATATTTTCGGTATTAATTTCAAAATAGACAAGGGAAACATGAAAATACCAAATGAAAATTCGTCACTCGCAAAAAATAATCTGATTCTGACATGACAAGATAGAGATGGGACAAATGAGTGACGTTTGTTGTGCTGTGCCAATGACCTTCGTGGGTGACAAAGAAATATTGAATCGATATCTGTTTTAATCGATTAGAGAAAAAGAAAAAAAAGACTTTATTTCATTTATAATCTCTTTGTGCGGAAAAATCCAAGCATAGTTTATATGAATAGCTTCAATTCAAATTATGAAAATATTTTAAAGAATGCTTTAAAACATTAATATAGCATTTTAAAAGTACGTTATTTATATATCTTGTGAAAAGAAAGAAAATATCTAGAATTGAAGTTACTATTGTTTATTGAATAATTATTTGTCCGCGCAATGAACTTAAAACTAAGACATCCGTATTTACAGCATAAGAATTATACAATTACATTCAACAACAATACTAATGTTATCCAGAAACAGTAGTCTTCAGCGAAATTCTAATTATACTCAGGCTCTCTCACTAACTTGAAACACCATAATAAAAAATAGAAATAGAATACAGCTTTACATGTTACTTTAATATGAAAGATCTTATCAAAAGATACATTTGAAAATAATTAACTTAAAATCTATCAAGAAAACAATCTAGACAAATTCATGTAGTCTTCAGTTTAGTTAGGAATGAGTTTATTCCTGGTTGATTAGCCACAGCTTTCTTAGGTTCTGGTTTAGGCTTTTTGCTTTCCTTGTTTTCGGATTTTGCCTTTTTCTTTTTCTCAGTTTTAGCACTCAGTTCTTCTCCTTCTATTACAATTTTCTTCTTCTTTACTTTTTTCTTTTCGCCTTCCTCTGGCTCATTAGCCGGCTGTAGTAAAGATGTCGGATCATTCATAATCATAGAGAACTTCCCAAAGTAATTCCAAAGTGCGTCAACGCAGTTTTCTGGTTTCCCACCATTAGCATCCTCCCAAAGGAGGCCATACAGTCTAGGTTTCAATTTCTCTGTTGGTTTTTTCAACTCAGTCTCGAATTCGTCCTCAAGATGCTTCAATCTCGCTTTTTGCGTTTCTGGCGTGAGGGATAACATGTCTTCCTTGTCCATTGTTGCTTCCTGAAAAACAATTTCATGTACTCATTAGCTTCAAAATTTGTGTATTACCAGGTGCAACTATAATTTAAACAAAAATATTTTCACTACCATCTCATAAAACCATTACAGTTAGCATATTTCTGAAATTATAGTTGCTTCCGATAAAATACTCACCTCGTCACTAAGATAGCCATGAGGCACGAACACTTCATTGTCGATCTCATAATCATCAGCGCCTGTATCGTCGTCGCTGCCGCACGCGCTGCCATCCAGGCTCTCACCCTCCTGTTCTTCCTCCCAGTCATCATCACTGTCCACTTCATAGTCTAGTTGCTTCTAAAAGATTCACAAATCATTCTTTAACATACATCCTTGAGCTGGACACTAGCGCACCTTGACTAAGGCCAGTCTACTTATGTATCATCGAAAGTCTAAATATCTCTAACATGTAGGTATCATATCCTAGGTATCCTAAGATTAATAAACTAGATGCAAATGATATGAAGTCTTCACTGAATTTGTTCTCTTTTTTGCAAGAGATGTCCTTTTTCCATGCATTAAAACTGAATTCAGTTTTATGTAATTTATAATAACTATATTTGTGTACATAATAATTTAGTAGCAGAAGAGCTCCTTGTGAAAGAGTTCATCCAGTGAAGTACTGCCACCTGACCTATTTCTGCCGCCAAGCAGTAATGTCAGCATTACTGTGTTCTGGTTTTGACGCGTAAGGGTCCTGGTGAAATTACAGGCACATGGGACTTATCAACTTGTGTGACGTGCGACTTATCAGGGTGACGGGCGCAGTGCCAGTGCCCCTCAGACCTTTACAATAGATATATATAGATAGATAGAGCTTTAAGCTCTGAGTGAGCTCTTATGAACAGACGTAAAGCTCTGAGTGGCACTGCAACTGTTATGAACAGACGTAAAGCTTACCAACAGGCGCACGACACGTTCGTCCCGTCACGTGATAATATAAAAAAAAAATCTATGAAGATCGCACAACAGTGAACCAGTTTTAGCAATGTTTGTGTCGTTAGTGGAATAGAAAAAATTCGTAAATGAGGTTCTGTTTATAAGGTATAACCTAAAACTGTCAGCCTTTACAAGGTAAAAGAATGTTTGAATCTACCTCCTGCCCAAACGGTCTTCTTGGCTTGACAAAAGTGCTCTTTTTTCTCCAAGTGCCCCAGTACGGCGGACGACGGTTTTCGTGGAAACTCAGCAGTTTCGGGCGTAGTTTCTCACGTTGTACTGAATCGCAGGTTATAATCTCTCCAGTACTATCTATTGGAGGCAATTCATCTTCTGGAAATGTTAAAAAATACGAAATTTACAACAAACAAAAACAAATATTAAAGAATTCTTTATGTATAAATTCAGCATTGGAAATGATACATTGTTTCGGATATAAATCGCGTATATTTGTTTTTTGAATAACGTCATGGGTTCCTTACAGTAGGGCTAGCACAACAGTTCTAGTTTTTAAATTAAAATTCTAGTTTGCTTTTTGAAATAAACATTTTTGGCCTTGATTATGTTTTATTTCTTCCAAATGAGCTGCACAACTTAAATTTATTATTGCACAGAGCAGAAACAATAACTTTAGCACTTTCTCTCAAGACAGGGTGGACTTCGAGCGTGTCGCATTATGTCTGGCTGAGCGAGTTATCTGTGCTCCACTGTTGATGCACCCGTAGGTGAAAATGTTAATAAACACAACACAACATTATAGTCTACTGATGCCAGAGAGCACACAGATACATGTTATTAATACTTCTTTCAATTCTCCAAATATTTAACAACCTATGCTGACGCAATGTGTAATACTTCATCTGTTGCAAAACAGTTCTGAGGCAACTCTTGTAAGCGGGTTTGCGCACAATGTTTTCCTTCACAATTAACAACTTATCTTTTTCTTCAGAATCAACACTTAATATTACAGACTCCTGAAGATCAATATGTACCAACTTACCAACAATCATAACATCATCATCATCTTTATCACTCATTGGCCATGTTTTACCACTTGACAGTGGTTTACTAGTTCCTTCCTTCAAGCATTTAAGATAGCTTTCTGATGTGTTTTGCTCGTTGAGACACTTGTCTAGAGCTTCTTTCTTCACAGTAGACAAATCTACTCTGATAATAGGAGCTAGTCTCATATCAACTTTAATTGTGAAGCTGGATAGAACACTGCTTTTGCTTACAGGACCTACTTGCTCCTTTTCAATTTTTTGTTTAGGTACAAAGAAGTTAACAAATGCTTCTGCTGCCTTCTTCTTCTTAAGCTCTTGTTCCTGTTTTTCCAGTTCTAATGCTTCTTGTTTTTTTCGCTTCTCCTCTTCCCGTGCCTCTTTTTCTTTTCTTTTTTGCTCCTCTTTGTCCTCTCTTTCTTTCTTTTTTTGTTCTTCTTTTTCCTCTTTCTCCTCTGAAATAAATATAACATATAAATGAATAACTTGAATTTGTACTGTATGATGTACTGTGAGGTGTATGATGCAACTTAAGACACTAAAGAGTTCATAGTTGATTGGCAATTTGCCCAAGTATACAAAATATGTTTATTAATTGAGTACAATATTATATAAAAAACCTAAACAAAATAAAAAATTTACTTTTCAAAAGCTCTTTTTGCTTCTCTCTGTCTTCTCTTTCTTTTTTCTTTTGTTCCTCTTTTTCTTCTTTTTCTCTTTTTTTAGCTTCCTCTTTCTCTTCTCGTTCTTTTTTCCTTTGATCCTCCTTTTCCTGTTTCTGTCTGGCTCTTTCATCTTTCTCTTGTTGTTTTTTCTTTTCCCGCTCCAATCTTTCTTTTTCTCTTTCTTCTTTCTTTTTTGCAGATTCTATTTTCTTTTGTAGCTGAAATAAATCAGAAAAAATTAATTGTAACTATTCTACACAGACATTTCAGGGACATATTGAAAATAAAGTTGACTGACTCACTTGTTTAGGAGTTAAATTACTAACAGAGATGTTTGATAAGTTTGCTGTTGAGTCATTCATGGATTCGTCTAAATTAACTGAACTTTTGTTTTGTTTAGGAGTCCCAGGTGTTGATGACATTGACTCGTCAAGTTTGGAACTAGCTGTCGAAATAATGGATGTATTTGTTTCTTCCAATTTTGTCTTGTTTCTTGTACTGCGTTTTGGAGTCACAGTATTATCATTTATTTTCTGTTCATTTTCAATAGTTTTGCCATGTTCTGTATCTGAAGACTGCTCAGGTTCTTGGAAACTCTCTTTTATATTAGGCTCGTCCTTATGGACATCTGAGGAATTATTTGAATCATCTATAGATATGATTTCACTTTCAATTTGCGTCGGTTTCACAGATGAACTTGTGACAGCAGGTGATGGTTCCTTTACAGATTTTTGAGGTGATGGTTTAGCTTCTTGGAAAGATTCAGAGTTTACTGATTTCTCTAGTGAATTTTTAGCTCTCAATGAAGACTTGTATTTATTACTGGATTTACCAGGTCGGGTCTTTCGTATGTATGACGTTTCTGACTCCTTTGATTGTAAATCTTTATTATCTGACGAAAGGTCGGTTTTGGGATCACTTTCGTTATTTTGCAGTGCTTCCTTGTTAGCATTTGGCAAGCTTTGGTCGTTGGAATCATTTTTTGTTAGTTCTTTATGGACTTGCACTTCGACTTCCACCATTTCAACATCAGCACTCTCCTTGTCATGGACATTTTCTGCAGTGTTTTCTTTGGAACATCTATTCTTGCCCTTTGAAAGCTTTTTTGTAGATTGCTTAGATTTTTTCGGGGTTTTACCCTTCTGTAGTTTCTTTTTCCATGCTGTATCTACCAACTTCACGTAAGGGTTCTGAGGTTTATCGTCATTCTGAGGCTTTGATGTATCTTTGCCATCGTCATCACTGATTACAACCAAATCGTCGGTCAAATCATTCTCCTTACTAATTTTACCAACCTTAGTTACAGGCTCCACGTCAGGCACAGATAGCTTTCTCTTACGTCCTTCAGGAGCAGCAGCCTTCGGCGAAACATCACTGATTAACATGAAAGGAAGCCGTCCTTGCTTTAACTTCTTTTTCGATGGTGTAACTTCTACACCGTCAGGAGACTTATTTGCCTTCATGTTTACTAGACACTATTTAGTCTAAAATGCCACAAAACACTCTGATTCTGTGATAAATACAATTAAATTAATGAAGAGTAAATAAAAAACATTTCTACAACACGATGAACTTTTGACAGATCAACGAAAAACGCGGGAGTTCCAGGTACGCTCAAATATATCATTCATTAAATCCCAACCGAAATTATAAAAACCTAATAAGCCATTTATTTACTTCTTGAACACATAATTAATTTGTATCACTGTTCGTAAAATAAAAATTTTGTGATACACGTACAAAAATTTCTAATTGTAAGATAATATGAGAGTAATGTGTGTTCAGAAAACCCAATCACATCACTTTTTTTATGTTCCGCTTTAAAAATACCGCTAAAAAAATCAAGGTTTCGTTTATCTCACTCGCACTTAATATGATGTATATCGTTATCTCGGTCAAACACCGAGTAATGCAGAATTCACCAAAATCGATTTTGTAGATTGAACTTGTTGCCCAAAATTACAATCGGCGTAGGAAAATTCCTTTTATAAAGCCCCGACGCAAAAAGACGGGAGTTATAAGTTTGAAGCCTTTGTCTTCTTAGCTCTTAAACGACTGAATAGATCCTAGAGCGGGTTTTGATTCATTTGAAGGCTAATTTCGTTGAAATGGTTCCTATAACTAGGTTTGATAAAGATCAACATCTGTTTTCCCGGTTAATGAAGCGATCTCAGTCATAAGATGAATATTTATTTTGCATCCACTTGTCCTATCGATTAGGAAAAGACTTTAATAGTACTAGAGCTCTTTGTGCAAGAGTTTGTCTAGAGAAATACCTCCTCCTTACCTATTTTTGCCGCCAAGCGGTAACGTGAGCTCTGCGTTTAGTTTCGAAGGCTAAGAGTGCTGGTGAAATTACATGCACATGGAACTTGTCAACTTATGTCTTATGGTGACGGGCGCAGTGGCAGTGTCCCTAAGATCTTTTATTCAAAGCTCCGAGTGGAACTGCAACTGCCATGGCTAGGCATGTCGCTTACCACCAGGCGCACAACTTGTTCGGCCCGTCACTTGATACTATGAAAAAAAAGAAAGACTACTCAACTCCTCAACTGTTTATTGGTCTCGTCAACTTGTTTGTTATCGTACGCTTGGTGATGTCTGGAGTGCACTGTTCAAACGAAGCGGGAAGAGGCATCTTGTAGGCATGCAAGGTAGAAGTGACTAGGGCAGCGATTGCATCAACACTGCACTCTGCACTAGGTTCCTTCACGTTTGGGTTCCATTTTATATTAGGTGAAACGAAGTTATCTGCCTGTCATGGATAAAAAAAACTGTTTTGTATATTTCATTTTCAGTTTTATACATGTTATATTATGTAAATTGTTCTACCTTGCTTTAGAATATTTTTCTTTAAAAAACTGATTAAATAGCGGCGGTATTAGCCAATACTAGTATAATTATTTATTGATTTAGTTAACCGACATTACTGGCGTAAAATATTAATATATCGGCTGACAAGCTGAGTGAGAATATAAACGCCTGTGCATAAAGACTCATCTAATCATATTTTTAAACGTAAACGAATACGTGCATAAACTTTTTGATCAGGCGTTACCTTAAACCAAAAGCCAGTTGAATGCCGAGAATTTGTTTCATAGGCACCAGTTTCGGTTCATACTGCTTACTTGCTTATTGTAATAAATACTTGCTGGGTAGGTAGATAATAATTATAATGATGTGCTAAATACAGGTTTTGTAAATGCAAACATGATCTTATATTGATAATTATACTAAATGTTAATATCCAGGAACTACAAGGTATATCGCATGGGTATGCATCGTCTGTTCCCAGAAGGATTGCCCCTAATAAATTTTCCTTCCAAACTACTCAATCATAGTTGTAAAGGCTCTAATATACGGGACGATTTAATTTTATCTTCACGACACGTGTGTCGTTGCAGACCGACCGAAACGACGAATCGGTAGTATATCTTTGAGATTAAAAGCTCTGAGTGGCACGGCAACTGTTATATAGACAGGCGTGTCGCTGACCATCAGGAGCACGACTTGTTTGTCCCATTAGTAAGGCTGAGATTTACAAAACGAATTTTGATTTCGACTGAACAAAAATGGCGAACTAAACAAGTTTTTTGTAAGGTTTTGTTTTTTTTTTAAACGCACTTCGCCAAAGCAAGAAATTAAATTAAACTTTGAAATTACTTCGTCATTTCTTTTTTTATAAATACGAAAAAAACTTGTTTAGATCGCCATTTTTACTTAGTCGAAGTCCAAGTTCGATAGAAAAATCCTACTATTAGTATCATATAGAAAAAAAAATATGTTTATGTCGTCGATGAATTTACATTCCAATGCTCTGGATACATAAGGCCTTTTGAGCCAGAAACCAATTTACTTTTAAATACCTGGCCTGTTCCTATAAATAAAAATAAGGTTTACATGCGACAACAATGAATAATTCCATACTTATTAAATACCGCTGTGCGAACATTGCACATGGACATGGCCTTATTCAAAAGTTTAGGACTTTGGATTAACTTATCTTATCTATTACTTTAATTTGGTATTGCCCTTGGGCGAACAGGCCTTAGTAAATTTAAATGAACGCTCAAATTTGTAAATTTAACCAAAACCTCGATTATAACTTATCTCATTATCTATAGAAAAGTTGTAACAGATAACTTAATATGAGCTTGTTGACGTACTTTCTTTCGAGAAGTTTAAGTACTTCCTTTACATGTATAGAGTTCTAAAATTTCACAGTTTCTGTTCATCATCAACCTAGTAGCCATAGAGTTCTTTGTGCAAGAGTTTGTCTAGAGAAGTACTTCCTCCTTGTCTATTTTTGCCGCCAAGCGCTAATGTGAGCTCTGCGTTCCAGTTTCGAAGGCTAAGAGTGCTGGCGAAATTACAAGCACGTGGGACTTGTCAACTTCTGTCTCAGGGTAACGGGCACTGTTTCTGTGGCTCTAAGAGCTGTTACAAATCCCAAGTGTAGCGATGCAATCGCGCGTTTGCATCGATGCTTAAAGTCGCCTTGATAAGGATCGTATTCCAGAACTCTACTCAATACTCAAGTCAAGACTTGAGTATTGCGGTGAGCACTGAAAATCATACTCAAGTCCTTGCCATTAGGGTCGTATTTCCAGTGCTTGAAATCATACTTAAGTCTGCTCAAATCCTGACTTGAGCATTGAGTAGAGTTCTGGAATACGACCCTAAGATCTTTGCAATTTAAAGCTATGATTGGCGCACGACTTGTTCGTCCTGTCTCGCAGTTGATAACGTTATTTTCACCTCTCTGGGCGCGTGTTCAGGGTCCTATTTCCTGGTGTCATTAGTCAGATTTAGTAGGCTATTATATTATATATAGCTTAGGTATTTTCGATTCTATATGAGAGTGACGTATCTGTTACGTAGTGATTATTAAACAATCTGTGATTGGACTACTTGTCATATTATTTTACATGCGGTATGACGTCCCGAATGTCGTGTACGGGCACCATCCGGTCCTTTCAATTAAATAGCGGTCGGTAGTTAAGTGTGTAACCACAGTTAAATTGAAGGCCAGCGTACAGGTCGTGGCTATCCACTTTTAAATCGTATGTGAATTGAAAAAGAAAACTTATACAACACGAAATACGTAGGTTGAGTTTCATAACTTCATAACTTCATCATATTTTTTTTACCCTACTACGACAAAGTCAGGACGGTTATAATGTCGCACGTTGAAACCAATTTCGTCACTAAACTAATAAGTCAACTTTCACGAAATGAACTTCAATGTTTCTGGAAAAAATGGATGAACAACCGATATTTTCGATTATTGACGGTGTTGGTTTCAATCGTTCATTTCCTGCTGCTGTCGTAACCAGTCTTAGCGGTAGGTCATGTCAGTCTGATTTTGTCAATGAGTTATATTCGGAAGACATACGGCAAATAGTGGAGAATAAGATCGTACGTCTTACGGCAAAAACATATACCTGGACAATGAGTGTAGCGACGATGTGGAGGTGTGTGTTCTCTATTCCTTTACCGCTAAGTACTAAATTACTTAACCGATTTGAACGTACGTGTAAGATTCCATTTTATTTCAACACAGAAATCTAAGTAAATCAGATTTTGTGGTTACGATTTTCCGCATGCCGTGGTAAAGATATATTATTGAAAAATCCAATCAAAGTATACGACGTCATAAAGTTAAGATCTTAAAAAATAAAAATCATCAAATTCTTTCGGGATAGCAAATTGAAGAGTACCTATTAAAAGACCGTTTCAAAAATATATTAATTATTTATTGCAGATTTAAAAACATGTTATAATTAAAGGCCATATACATACAATGGTGAGCGTA